AAATGTTTAAGGCCTTTCTTTCAATTATTTTCTAACTATTATCAAACTGAGACAGGTTATACCAGGGGCTGTTCACTGATTTCCATCTATCAGCTGTGTCTTCAGAGCCCCACCAGGATTTCTCTCAACCCAGTACAGAGTGGAACCTTCTGCATCCTGCTAAAGAAAATGAGCCAATCAAACACATACTGCCTGTACGCTACAATGGGATGTAGGATATTTGGCTAGCATGAAGAAATTATTTGTCTCGCTGCCATTTTGGAGCCACCACTGTGCAATTTACTGTAGCAAATGTGGCTTTAAACATCTTAGGCTTTGACTATCAGCCCTCCCCTCCAGTGAAGTTTTGAATGAACTGCTCTGAATCAACTGCTCTGAGCAACAGTTATTTTTAGTTTTTCTCACTGAGCTCCGTAACTTTTTTTTTTCTGCATGTGTGCACACTGAAGTTGCTTTATTTTCCCTATAATGCTTTCTTTGTTCCAGATATCTCCTCATAAGCATGGCCATCTCTTTACACCTTTACACTCTTTACCAGAGAAACCTATCTGGAGATCCTGCTTGCCTTTTCCACCCGTAAACCCTAATTAGTAAAAGCTTATCTATCTGTTTGTCCTCCTGGGTTCTTATTTTCTTACCTGTGCTGACTTCATTCCACTTCACTAGGGCTCCTGTGTTCTCATCTCCACGTCACCTGTTTGGTCTACAATCTTCCCAGTTGGATGCCATTTTACCTGCTGCTCCACCACTGCTACTGGTCTCCATTTCCATCACTTGCAAAAACAACAGGCACCCATGTGAGTACAATGTAGAACAATTACTCACTTTGCTACTACATCGTGTACTCACTATTGGTCTGCACTTCTAGGAGACACAGAGTCAGAGGGGCTGCTGTGCTCCTCCTACCTGAAAGACCTGATATTTCCATCTACCTGTTCCAATGCTCTCAGCCCCCATTGTGGCCTTGTCTGTACCATTATCCCCCCAATAAACATTTTCCTATTTTGCACTTGTTTTGTGTTGCATCTGGGTCCAGTTCAGAATATATTTGTGACAACAAGTGTGGCAAAAAAATATTAAATACTTCCCATAGTTCAGTGCACCTGGCAGCAGTTACGGTGCAGAAAACAGAGAGGAGGAGCAGAGCAGCAGGGTGGGGGTCAGGACTACAGTTCCCAGTGAGTCCAGTAGGCTTAAACAGTAGTCAGAAGACAACAAGATGCTAGTCTGAGTTTACACCACAGGACAATGTTTTTTTAGTATTGTTTTTTTTTCTGGTTTCATTAGAAATTCTACTTTGCTAATTGGGGCAACTCTATCACCAGTACACCTGCTGTTAACTGTTTAACAATTATGTCTGTGTCACTCACTGGCTCAGCTGATTGCCAAGGGGAGTCTTCAGACGCCCTATTGAGTATTTGACAGTCCAAGATTAGCTGATTTCATCAGACGCTACCTGGTGTCAGCCTTTTTAAAGCAACCCTGAAGGAGGCAGTGTAATGAACCAGTGAATTATTAACCCCACTGCATAAACCTTTTACACATATACCTGAACAGAAAATAGAGGAAACCATGTGTCTCGAGGGGAAACCCTTGCCACAAAGTAATGAATTGATAATCTTGCCTTCAGCAGTGCTTCTATAGTGCCATATGTGCTCTGACAGCCTGTGGGAAGAGTCACGGGGGCTCTGAAGCCTAAAATAGGGTAGGCATTGTCTGATAACAGAAGCCAGAAACTACAGTCAAATAACACACAAAAGAACCATGCTCAGGTTTACACCAGAGGTCAAATCAGATTTTTGCACTTGTTGTAAAAGTTCCACTGTTTAGACACTTTGCTTTGCTACTGTGCCCTGTTGTTCTATCAGACCAGAGCTGCTGCATAACTGTGATAACACATCTCAGTTGCCAGAGACATCTCTCTTGAAACTTTTATCTTCTAAGAAAAAAAAGAGGATTGCAAAATATTAAGAAATGTGGATTTTCTTATAATCTAAAGCAGTCAAAATGTGTAACAGCAGACATATGTTACACAAAGAGAAACTCATTAGAAAAGCAGACATGCAATATTTTGTTTATTTTGGTTGAAAATGATATTCTCTTGCTATCCTGCTGGCATCTTTATGTTCAGCGATTCTGACTGAATCAGATTCAGGATAATCCTTCATCTCACTTTATCTCTGTGGGGTTTGTAGATGTCAGTAGATTTCCCACATAACCAAGAAGTGGAGGACATGTACAGGACCTGAAAATCCTGAAATATGCATTTTTAGATTGGAGGAGTCACCCCCACAAGGGGGCAATTATTCTTGACAGTGGCTTTGTGTCTCCTCAGTTTCCAGGAAGCATTTCACAGAGGGTTACCTGAAGAATGTCAAACCAAACATGCACGGTTTCTGGGGATATGACAACAATAAAACTGCTATCCAAAATATATGAATATCTCTGGAAACAAATTTAAATATGCTATTAGCTTTTCAACACATTAACAGGATATTTCAGTAGTTACCCTTATTGATACCCAGAAGCAACTGTTGGGCTGCTTGGTATAATTTTGTCTTTTGTTAATCATCTAAACTAACTGTTTGGTTCTTCACCTAGATTTAATTAATACAGGGTGTAACAAACAAATCTTTGTCTCTTGATAAAGCTGCAGTATTCTGGGTCAACATTCACAGGCCTTAATGCTGAGTTCAGATCTATTTGTCAGATCTGATCTTTTTGTGGTGATGGCTCACATTCATGTTTGTAAGTGATGTTTCTAACCCCATGTATGAACACCATTTAATGTCCTAAACTGCCACACATGCACAGATTTATCTGAAATGTGAGCTGCATGTGTACAATAATAACAGTGTCATTTGCACAACTAAATGTGCGGTTTTCTCAAAAACTGCTCGGTTACAAAATGTTCCCTCCAGCTTGGCTTGATCAGAAGTGTCTCCATAAATGTCCAAATGTGAAACATCCTCATCTCTACACTGCGTTGCTGCTCTCCTCCGAGTCTATTTTTACTGGTCTGTGATGGGCCAACACTGAATGATGAAGACAGGCGATATGTGCAGAGGAGGAAGCCGTTGGATAAACCACATGAATTCTGAGCTGACTGTTCTGACAATGGTCAAATGGTCAGAGTAATGAATCAGATCAAGGAGCACATGTGGAAGTGGCCCAGATTTGATTAGGAAAAATCCAGTTTGGTTTATTCACACATCTGTGCAAAGATCAGATCTGAGTCAATTGGAGGGAAAAATTGGGTTTGAGTGACTTCTGTATGTAATGTGAATGCAGTTTTTGTCTCCAGTGCAACATGCTATAGACGTTGTAAGACCACAAGGATGCTTGCTACTGGTTTATCTCAAGACTGGGTAATGTCTATGAGCATGGGAAGGAAAATGAGGACAGACAAAGTCCTGGTATCTCAAAATAATTAAATCATGTCACTAACTTGTGGTTCCTTCAAAGTGCTCTGGGAATGTCCCCAAGATAGGTAAGACTACAGACTCTACAGACATCTCATTCTGCTCATTCATTCACTGACTTTAATGAAAGAAGAATCATAGCAGGTTCTCAGATGATCTAAGGACTGATTAGTTTGGGTGTGGATCAACAATATCACATAATCAAAATGTTGATTTTTTTTATTACACTTATTACTAGAGATTACACTTTCATTAGAATGTCCAGGTATAGTCACAGTGATATTTATATATCACTAATCTCCACAGTACACTTCACATAAAATAGCCTCTGTAGCAGAAATCACTCCCTAAATGATTGGATTAACTTAATAGACACTGTCTATTCAAGCCTGAATGAACTAAATTTCCTCCCTTCCCTTTTAGGTGTCATTGTAAAGTATAGCTGGCCTATTATTTTATTATTTTGCAAGTGATTCCCTAAGGGCTCAGGATAAAAGTGTATTTTAACATACATGTGATCAAGTGGTCAACAGAAAATAGTTTAAAAAAAAACACAGTACATAAACTAGTACATATTGGAGGCTGTGAACTTCAAAATTATGAACTATCAATGTGAGCTACTTTATTCTCATACATGTGTAGCTTTAGTTAAGTGTAAACTTATACTTTTTTTACATAGTAGTAATTTTACAAAGCTTTTAGCATTTCCAGAGGGAGCTGTATGAAGTCTGACAGCTAAATTGCATCCAGTGATGTCACTTGAGTTGGAGCTGAAGAACTGGTTTCATTATAGGTAATCTAGGTGCCAGGTTTTAACAAGTAAGAAGAATGTGTTAAATAAAAACGCCATTCTCTATTGTTCAGCTGCTTCCATTTTGATCATTCCTTTAAAATCTCTGCTGTGAGTCCAAAGGACTGCAATGTTAATTTGGTGGAATACTCTCATCCCTACTTTTAGCTCTCATCTCCAAGGGAATCAATTCCTACTGAAGATGTGTTTTTAAATGGGGGTCACAAATATATGCTTCTTTTTATTTAATTTATTGTTTAAAGAAAGGCTAATTTATTCCCCAGACAGCTGGCCACTGTAGTTTGTTAGGTGTTATAGTTTGTAGCCTACTTCTAGAAGCAGGTTGGTGTATGTATGACTGAGTTAAAATAAACTACAGTGTTCATGGCAACTGATGAACATATTGCCTAGTGTGGCTCGCTGATGTGATCTGAAAAGTGTTTAGATTTCAGTGGCACAGAGGTGTAAGATATCAAACTCTGGATACACATACTGTACAGTAAACGGTTTAGTTCATTTCATGGAATTTGTTGACAACTGGGGGAAAAGAAAAATATACATGTATTCATTAAAATAGTTTTTAAGTAGTGTAAATAGCACAGAAGATGTGTGGCTATGTTTCTCTTTAATCTAGTGAGTTAGGCCAGGCAAATGTCTTTTTTTTTTGGTTGGTTTATTTGTTTCACCTAGGGATTTGTCAGTATTTTTTGAGATTTATTTTTTGTTGTTTTGGTCTTGTTAACCCTGAGTTATAGAGCTTCAGTTTACTGTCACCATATCACCTTTTGTCGCAATGAATCACTTCGCTGGTAGTAGTGGCATGGCAGCGACCTGGCAGGCTGCCTCCTCCTTGCCGGTCTCCACATAGTGGCCATGACCCAAGGCCACGCCTCGGTGCACAGGCAGTGGTCTCCCACTCCACTATGATCTCCAGGGCTTCACCTAAGATTCTGGGGTGGGCCAGCTGCACGTGTAGTCTAAGCTTGTCAGGGGCAGGGGCCTGGACAAACACCAACTCACCCTGAATGGGAGGTGGCATGGATGAACCAAAACATGGAGGGATTCTCCCGGCACCTGGGTGCAGTGTTTAAACTCACTGGAAAGGGCATCTTGCAGGTTGAGGGGCAGAAGTGACTCTGAAGTGCATTCACCAGGCAATCCACTCGTCCAGGCTCAGCAACAGTAGGAATGAGTGGTCATCCTCCATCAGCAACAAAGCCAGCTATAGTGCCTTTGCTTTCTCTGACCAGTGAGCAGCAGCAGCAAACAATTCGAACTGGGCAAGATAGGCCTCCCAGATGTCCCTACCATAGAACTTAGGCGTCTTCACCCCAGGGATTGGGAAAAAGATGGCACACTGCAGGATGGCGCTCCCCATGTGGCCTTCTGGTCAGGTCGTCATTGAGGTAGGGGTTTATCCTGCTGCTAGCTTGGACTGATCTGCTCGCAGTTCTGGAATGGCTGGCTGGTTAGCTGGTGCTGGCTCTGGGTCCCTGTGAAGCCAGGGTGATGATGATGATTGGCAGGGTTCTTCCGGCTTGCCTCGTGAGGAACACTGGCTCAGTCAGCGGTCTCATTTTGGTGGGCTCCCACTAAGAGTGGGGTGGCAGGCAATTTCCTAGGGGCCTTCTGCTTCAGGTCGCACTGCCTCTTGCTTCTGTCAACGCCCATCCCACTTCTTACACCATCCCCGGCCTTGCACCAATGTAAGGCCAGCTAGATAAAACAAAGAAGCCAGAGACAGAAGTTGCCTTTTCTGTGCTCGAAGCAGCCACTATTTCATTCACACGCACACAGAAAACTAAACTCATGAACACACCTAACAATCCCCACCAACCCCAAAACTAAATACATCCCACCTAGAGGGGCATTTTGAGGGACCCTGCCAAGTGTCTCTCCATCCCCAGCGCTACATGTTATTGCAACCCATTATTTAAAGTGAAAATTTTGCTTTAGGGCCTGGGGAAGAATTGACTTTTTAGAGTTAATGTTCTCCTGCCTCTTATGCTTATAAGAGGAGAATAACACCATCTAATAACCCATGTCATTTCATGCCTTGTGCATTTTGTATATTCCATATCACAATGACACTACAACTAGGTTCTCTTCTGTTTACCCCTGCTGGATTTTTACTGCTTTTTTTTCCTAAATATTTTGATTTTTTTTTTTTAGATTGACATGTCTGTCACCTGTCTACCACCTGCATTAGCTCAATAGTTCAAATAGTCCAGTTTACTTTTATATGTTTGAACAAAATGCATACTACTGGCAAAACAAATGAAAGTCAAATATTTAATGAAAGTTTGGTAGTTAAAATATAAAGGCTTTTTAGTGTAACTAAAAGTAACTGTACATGGAGGTTCAGGTCATATTTCCCTTTCCCTTTTCAGTTCCAGTTATCAAGGAGCCCTCAACAAGTACTTACATACTGTGCAATTGTGAATGATCAGCTCATCAGTGCTGGTACCCCAGACGTTTTGACTGCTTGAGGCCAGTGTGTCTGCCTCATGTGATGTGATATGGGTTAACAAGAGGATCCTAACCATCCATGATGTTATTGTCAGCGCTACGCTACCTGTTGGAATTAATTTCATTACTTTGGGAATGTATGTGGTCATGTGGGGTAAGAGGCAGCAACCACCGGTTGGATTTACTGACCTCTGAGCTACTTGAAAGGGAGTGATGTTTCCACTACTGGGTGGGACTTAACGGTAAATAAAAAAATTAAAAAAAAAAACACGTCAGATATCTGTTAATGCCTGTAATGTTAGAGAGCATTGTTGCAAGGCTGGAGAAGTTACAATGTCTGCATTATGCTAGTTAAAATATGAGCTTTCTCAACTACTCGCTTTGCTTATAGTGTTACACATCTCTTTTCATTGGTACATATACCATTGTTTATCTATCTATGGAGGAGAAATTCAAATTAATTAAAGCCATCGCAGTTGGTTGTGCTGTCCACTTTCCGAACAACAATGACAACAGGAGTTGTGGGCGTTCACAAACTATCCTCTCATTTTTAGGAAGAGGCTCTCTGGTTTTCTCATTTTGACATAATTAAAGACTATTTCAAGTTATGAGGGATGCCAAGCTAATCTAGAGGTAACCAAGATTAAACATTAAGTGGCTGGAAATTAGTAAAATGAGTACTGTGGGCACTTTAAAGATATTTTAGCACATTTTCTCTGTTTCAGTGATACCTTAGTTTCTCCTACTTTGGCATTTTTTCAGTGCAAGCCAGCAACCATGAAAACCTATGTTCACACTGATGATGCAAATTCTTCAGTCCATAAAAGAAACAAATCTGGCTCATATAAATGAGGTAAACTCATTTGCATAAGGAATGATGGTAGGAAGTATAACCAACCATCAGAGCTCAAGCAGTGCACTCTGCCTGCAGCAGACTCTCCCAGCCCCTATCTCTGCATCTGAATAAATCATACAAGGAACACATCTGGTTCCTTAGAGAGGGAATGAGAGAGTGGGAGCAATGATGAAAAATTTGAGACAACAGTGACTACAGCATGGGATAAAAGATGGAGATAAAAAAGGCGAGAGGAGAAGGGAGCAAGGGAATGAAGAAGAGATGCGAATGATAGGCAAAAGAAGAGGCAGTACAAGGAGGAGAAAATAAGAAGTGCGCTAAGGATGGTCTGCTCTTCTATCTATGCTTTCAAGCAGCTAAAGGTGTGATTTGTGTGATTTTTTTTAAATTGCATCCTTTTGTGCAGAAAATAGACTCTCCATTCTGAAAATAACCTACACAACAGACAGTTGAGAATGTGAAGCAAAAATTGCAACTGTATTATAATGTGTCCAGTGTGTGCACTTGTGCATCCATGCTCGGTCCACAACCAGTCTATTTTCTCTACCAAATGACCTGTCTGTGGGCATTATATAAAAGGTTCCATTTGTTGTCAGTACAAAACAGTAAGGACATATTCCTGAGTTGCAGCAGAAACCTCACCTTACATGTGAGATAATATTGTTCTTGTGTCTCAACTGAATTGAAAAGAACTGGAGTGGATAAACACTGGGTACAGTACAACAGGCTGCTGGAACCACCACATGAATAAGAAATTTTAACCATAAATAAAATGTCAGTGTTGTGCTCACAGCCTGCTATTTTACTAACAAATTAGGGTTCAAGCCATGCTGTCATAAATCTGCTGGGCTCCATGACAAGCAACAACATTGACCTGATCTAACATAGTTAAAGCCTTGGCCAAGCAAAGAATAAATACTTGGGAGCAATGACACATTTAAAATCTATAGTGAACAGACTTCGACTCCCACTGGCTTAGGCAGTTTTGTGTAAATGCTATAGCTGGCTCAGTAGTCCAGCCATTATCTAGTTTTGACTAGTCCTAGTTGTAGTTCGGTCACTCTGTGACCTAGTGGACCCTTAACACTCTGCCTGCAGCTACTCTCCCAGCCCCAATCTCTGCAACTGAATAAATCATACAAGGAACACCATTGCCCCATTCACTGACTTTTCTTCTAATTCACAGCCATGTTTTTCATTGCCTGCTTTAGGCTCCTCCCTCTCTTAATCAAGTGATCTGATTCATATCCACTCTCTGATTATGCAACTGCTGTCAGAATGGTCAGATCACAATTCATGTATTCTTTTTTTTCTTCCACATTTGCATATGCACATATCACCTTGTGTCATTATTCAGTGTGGGCCCCTCACAGCTTGATTAAAAATAAACATTTTTGCAGAAGTTTCTCATCAAGCCAAACTAAAAGAAACATATCATAACTTAGTAGTTTTTGAGGGTAATGTGCAATTTGCCCATTGCACACATGACATTGTTATTTTTGTATGCACATGATGACTCACATTTCAGTTAAATCTGCAAATGTGTGGCAGTTTAGGAGCTCTGTTCTGTACCGGAAACAAATTCCTTATGTGTAACATACTTGGCCAATAAAGGTGACTATCCTATCCAGTTTAGGAGCTCAAGTGTTCACACTTTGAGCTCGATACACATCACTTGCAAACATGAATGTGAACCGTGACCAGAAAAAGAACAGATCTGACACACAAAAAAAAAAAAAACTGGAATTGAGCATCAAGGCCTGTCATGTGACACCAGTGTCTGATTAGTGGTAGCTATCTCCCAAGGGACTCTTAGCTGTTCTCCAGTCTACTCTCATTTGCCAGTCCCTCCATGTCTTGAGCTTGTTTCCCGATTTTCTTCACCCTCACAAACAAACTAAAATCAGTCTAGTTTCCTTTTTGCATCCATTGAGTTTAGCTCTAGGTACTTACTCTCAGTAGCTGCTACTAGCCACTTCAGCTCTTGGTTATGTCTCCAGATGTGAGGCCTTTGAGACAGGCTTGTTTTATGCTCTGAAACAACATGCCAAAGTTAAGCTATATCTGAACACAAAGGACATGTTGGGTCCTCACCTATCCATTTGGGGAAATGGAAGCACATCATAAGTTCCTTCTAGCATGACTGTAATTATCTGCTTCCATGTGGCATGGGCTGCCTCAATGTGCATAATTGCCTCCATTGGGTTCCACTTCCTCCCTGCTGAGACTGTTGGCACTGCACTCTGCACTGCTGTATCCTTAGATTCTGACAGCACCATCTCCAGCATAGCTTTTGTTCACTGAAACCTAACCTCTGTTAAACTGGTTACAGGGGGCTCTAAAATCACTTTTCTGTAAAGAACCACAGTGCTGAGGCAGCGCGGGGCTCCTAATCACTTTCTAATGTGAATGCTACACATTCTTGCTAGCTTGTCTACAGTTGAAATAAGCACTACATATAGTAATGTATATAGAATGTCAGTGGCCACAACAATCATTGGCAGCCAACTAAACTGGAAGCATCACAGTCTGAGTTTGCCTGGAAGGCTTGACATCTCTAAATGCCATCCACTGCCTACTGTCTCAGGCCCTGGATTTGCTATTTATCACTAAGTGCTGCATCTTAACACCTACCAACTTTGAACTGGCTTCTCTACCACAGAAAGGCATTGCCTCCTCATTTGTATACACCTTTTATCTGAACACAGGCTTTTCACTATTGAATACTTTTTCTGTCTTAATTTTAGTGTATGTTCAAATTATCCATTAGCCTTTTGGTATGTGGTGCTGTAGTGATGGTTGTTATGTCATGCATTGACACCCTTATGGGTAGTAATCGCTGCTCTGACCGAGGCCTCTCTCCTCCTACAACCCACTTACATGGCCTGATAATAACATCTATTGCCATGGTAAACTGTAAAGGTGAGATTGTGTATCCTGGTATGCTGCCTGTGCTGCTGTGCTCTAATACACTCAGCAGTTGTGAAACATATTCTCCCACTATCCCTGTGACTATGGCTGGTACCATGGTACCCCACTGCTGCTGATACTGTCCACAGTAGTCTGAGTGGAACAGAACCCAATGCATTTGCTGAATTTAAGTCTTATGTTTCCTTCTTCGACATCAGATCATGTTTGTGGGCTCCAAGCATGGAGAAAAAATAGGCATTTTGGCTTTATGCTCTGAAAAGCTTAGTCTTTTCTAGGTGGTTGACAGCATCTGTGCCACTACACTGAAGAAACCTTTAGCTCTTACAGTGAGAAGGCCTAAACTGTCCTACATCATCACGGTTATTTCTCATGATATGAGGATCCCTTTGGCAGGGTTCCCATAGATCCTTAAAAAGTCTTAAATTAGATTTAAAACATTTAGAGTCTTTTGAGCTGACAC